TAGATAGATAGATAGATAGATAGATAGATAGATAGATAGATAGATAGATAGATAGATAGATAGATAGATAGATAGATAGATAGATAGATAGATAGATGGAAGAGCAATACTGACATCTAGTGGTGTGAAAATGTCAGCTTTATTGTCACAGCTCGGCTGTCTCAGGGCTGTCACATAGAGATTGACCAGTTACACTAACAGTCAATGTAAAATCAGCTATTAGCCTAGCATGCATGTCTTTGGACTGTGAGAGGAAGCTGGAGTACTTACAGAGAACCCACACAGGCACGGGGAGAACATGCAAAACTCCACCCAGAAAGGCCCCAGCTGGAAAGGGCCTGACATTCTCATTGTAATTGATGGTGCCACCCACTGCACCAATATGTAACCTGTTTTTTCTTTCCTTCTTTTCCTCATTATTTACAATTTTACAAAACACCACAATGCAGAAATGCTCAGATATAAGCAAAGTTGCAACTTTTCTTTTGCTCTGCTTTTGGTTGAGCCACAGTGAGTGTCTCTGGGGAAACTATATTCAGCACCTCCATTATTTCACCAGGAGCCTCATTTGCCTTTTTGTTTCCTTTTTGTCTTTTAACCGTTGTCACTCCTACAGAAAGACGTCAGACACTGAAAACACTGCACTCTTCAGTATTTATTCTGTTGCTTAGGGTGTGCAGGCTTCTCTTGTTCAACACTGTTACTGCTTCCATCATTCCTCTACCACGCTCTCTCGTGGAGGTGCAGCACTATGTAGATTGCAGTTGCACTAATACATGTACACACAGTATATGGCCAATAGCAGAAAGCAGTGAAACCAAGCAGTATGAAGCAGTTAATATGAACATACACCATTGTAATAATAATAATTGCTTGTTATAATGTAATTAATTAGCAAAAATGTTACAAAATCGGAATAATATTGTATTATGATCATATCGGATGATGTCTGGTAAGTCCCACTTCTAGTTAGTGAAGGCAGGGAGTTGTGAAGGAAGTGTAAAATGTGAACGAGAGCTCCAAAATTAATCCAGTAAGTTAACTTTCAGTCTATAAAATTGTGTAAGCTTCCAGGGAAATGCCATACTAGTGTTAATTTGAGGTAACTGTCCAAATTCATGTGTTTAAAAATGGCAGGCTCACTGTCTGACCGTTTTACTAGCTGTGATTATGTGTGTTTTTCTCTGTATTTACATTAAAGTGAGTTTCCATAATATCCTCTCTGCTGCATTCAAAGAGAAAGGCTTCATCTATTCTTAAGTACACTGTTTTATTATAGCATCCCAGTCCATCAATCAAATTATAATATTCTCTATTCCTCTCGCTCGCTCTCCCGTTATCCCTTGAAGTGACATCAAACAGCCTCTAAATCATTACTTTGGTCATTTTAATACAGCTGGAGCTCTATCCCCCCCCCTCACTAGTTCTCCCAAAGGCCTTTTTTAACCTTTTTTCATCCCTTCCTGTCATCTCTCCATCACTGAAGCAGGAGAAGGAGGAGTAATGAGATACCAGGATCAATCCTCCCCCCCCGCTATCATCACGACAACCACCACCACCTACGCCACTAAATCCTCCAGAGAAAATTTTGCCATTACAATTAGTTTCTCCACCTCTGGCCATAACTCAAACTAAAGCACCTGCACTGAAATCAGTCATCCTGGGACGAGGAACGAAAACGACAGAGCGTGGAGTTGGAGCGGCTCGTAAACAGAGTTTGCAGGGACGTTTCACTGAGGTCAGGTGGGAATGCATAAATCTGAACTTGTTTTTCACACTATTAAGTAAGGGCTATTAAGTAAGATTTGTACCACCCCATAACACAAAATGACTGCAATATATCTTAATAAGGGCTCTGATCAATATTTCAGTGATTCCTTTGTAGTATGATGATGATAATCTGGCTTCTGAATCGGACATTTGGATGCTCAGTCTGTTCAACTGTGCCACTCTGAGAAGCTTGAATGGGAAATTTGTTGAGAGTAGAAGGGGGCAAAATCATTCTATAATTGTTATGGCCAAACTGACGCTGATGCCAATGGCAGTTTTTGGGGAGTAAGAAAAAATCTGAAATTGTGAAACCAGGCACAGGGTCACACAACTAGCCTTCAAAATCGAAATGAAATTGTTAAATTAAATTAAGATTTATGCCACATGCAATAACTATTTATTAACAATGGTGAATGGGTGAATGAGACGAGTTGTGTAAAGCGTTTTGAGTGCTCTGGTACAGTAAAAAAGCACAAAATAAGAACCAATCCATTTACTATTTAACATAGCAGAAACACAACCAGGAGACATAACGTGGACACAAACCACTTTAGCCACAAATGTTGTTATTCAACAAGTAAAAACAATGTAAATGCCTCTGAATCCAGTAATAACATATGAGATACAGTATGTCGAGGTGCTGTTATTAGCGGTGTACTGATTCTAGTAATTATGCTATGCAAGGCTACTAGCTTAATTCTTCAATCCTTTTGCCCCATCCACACTTTGAAGTTGACAGTTGGACACCAGTGGACGTTACTACAAAAATGACTACACTACTACAAAGTTTAACACCTTTCTTTGGTTGTAACATTGTTGCTACTCACTTCCTGTGTGGATGCAGCCTTACACTTGATATGAGACTGGTAACATTCTCGCATGCTGACTAACCGAAATAACAAAACCAAGAATAAATTGCAGTTAAAACATGCACAATATATAACCTGAACCACAGATCTGATAGCTTTATCAGTGAACTTAGTTTCAGGTATAAAACACTGAATCTCCATTAACAATTTAGAGTTGTAAGGTGAAATACCAATGATTTACTAAAACTAGTCTATAAGATGGCAACTGTCAAGGAACAACACACAGTGTAGCACTTTGTATCTATTACAGCATAGTTAATTATTTTTTATGACCGTGTGTCTGAATAATGCGCTACAAAAAAGGCACTCAATGTTTAATAGAAATAACAGAAGTCAAACATATCAAATGTTAAAAATCCTCATTTCTGTTGGATTAAAATGGTTTAAAATGTGATTTAAACATTTATAAAATAAAGAGACAGGGGCATGTTTACCACTGTGTTGCATCACTTCTTCTTTTGACAATCTCCAAGTTTGGGACTTGAGATGATGATTTGTTGTAGCTTTTAAAATGAGATGCTCTCCTGTTTTTGGTTTATACTACAATGCATGCTGCTCAGTAGTTAGGGGCATTCTTGTTTCATAATCCTTCATATACTGAGATATATCTTAAAAGCTGGAAATTTAGTACCATAACACTTGTGCTTTGATGATATATTTTCTTCAACATTTATACTCCTGAAAAACTCCACCTTTCTAGATTGCTCATTTTACAGTGTAACAACTATTCGAAAACTTTTTTGACGATTTGCTTTAAATTTTTAATGAGATAATTCTTCTCTGTGCATCACTCCAGATCAAACTTTCCACTCTGAATGTGAAATATCTCAGCTTCTACTGGATACATAGCCATAGAGTACACAGGAACAAAACATTTTAATGATTGAAATCCTCCTCACTTGTCCTCTTGCGCCACCGTGAGGCCAAAATTCTAACTTTTAGCATAAAACCTTTACTCCAAATGTCTAAATTGGACATTAAAGATGGGGCCGATGGCGCGATATGGCAGCCTCGCTTCTGTCAGTCTGCCCCAGGGCAGCTGTGGCTACAACTGTAGCTACCTCCACCAGTGTGTGAATGCGAGAGTGAATGAATAGTGGCATTGTAAAGCGCTTTGGGTGCCTTGAAAAGCGCTATATAAATCCAATCCATTATTATTATTATTATTATTATTAGCCATTTCTCCATCCACTTATATCTGTTTCCACCTCTGAGATCATTTCTGTTGTTGGTGCTGAAAGATATGATAGAATTTTTTGAAGATCCGAAGCTAGACTGAGGCCAAGATCATATTAGGGATTATCACAATGTATTTACTGTTTTAGGGCTTCCAACAAGCTGTTGCCAGCTGCTGTCACGGAGACAGTTTCTGTCTGCTTCCAAGCAGATTAGCTTCAATATTTTGTGGAAGCTGCTGCCAAGCTGGTTGACTTTTCACCCCAGGTGTGTGTGTGTGTGTGTGTGTGTGTGTGTGTGTGTGTGTGTGTGTGTGTGTGTGTGTGTGTGTAAGCATATGTGGGTATGGGGTTCATTCTGTTCTGCAATCAGCCCTACACTTCCTTTTCTATGACCAGCTTCCGTTTTAGTATTGTTAACAGAGTCACTACACGGCGGCTGCTTCCCCTCGGCTGAGACAGCCTGCCTGCGCAGCTTCCTGTGTATGCGTCTGTATGTTTTCATCTACCACTGGGTGTGTAGTTGCATCTTTGTGCCATTGTGTAGCTATAGATATACATATATAGAGAGAGATAGATAAATAAATATAGGGCCTGTGTGTGTGTGTGTGTGTGTGTGTGTGTGTGTGTGTGTGTGTGTG